CAAGCACTGTTGCTGTATGGCACTGGCAAAAATAAAATAAAAAGTCAAACAACAACAAAATCCCATGTCAAATTTATTTTTAGACATGGACCAAAAAAAGTCTTGCTGAATGAAAATCATTTTGTTGGATGGGAGCAATATAAAAATGAGAATAAGTTTTAAACTTTAAGTGAAGTGAACTTTAAGTACAATTTAAGTGTTTTAAACCTACTTGTTGTGTTGTTTTTATGGTATTGTCTGTGTTTTTGTATGTATCTTATATGGACTTGAGTCTGGAATAAAGTTTATTATAAGGCTGTACAATATGAACATAAAGCAGAATAAAATAATAACATGCAATGTAGGGGCAGAATCTGACATCTCCTGTTATTAGTTGATATCATGGACTGTAATGACTAGCAGCTTATCACTGACAGCATGTCAGACTATTTCTCTGTGTTTGCTACACTCTGTTTGTCATTTATAAAAAGATAAATCACGTTTCTATAATACATCACTGATATTTCAATGGAATAAATTACTTATTGACTTACTGATTCGTATCGATTGAGGAGGCTGCTACCGACTTAGCCATATCTCTCGCTTGTCAAACCGGATATCCGGTCGTATCGGTTAATCATTCCCAACCCTAATTAATTTCCTTTCTGCAGTTTTTAATAACGCTCTCATGTCATCACCTGAACAAAATAAATCTGTATCATCAGCAAATGTTAAAAATTTCAAGATATTAGATACCATACAGATATGATGTAAATAAAGTAGAAATAACTTAGGTCCCAATACTGAACCTTGTGGAACACCACAGGTTACTCTTCTCAGATGGAGGCTCCTGAAGCGAAATCTAATCAAATGGGGGTCTGTCCTTTCTGTTCTATTCTATTGACACGAAAAAGGTTGAGGTTGAGATTGCACACAATCACAAATACAGAAAACTATACATTATACAGTTGGCGATTTTAAGGTTCTTTTATTAGTTTTTAAATGTCTTAACGGTCTTGGGCCTTCTTATTTATCTGACCTGCTTTTACCATATCAACCCTTGCGGACCCTGAGGTCCTCCGGCACCGGCCTTTTAACCATACCACAAGTTAGGACTAAAACACACAGGGAGGCAGCATTTAATTATTATGGCCCCTGATTGTGGAACAGCCTGCCGGAGAACCTCAGAGCTGCAGAGACTGTTGATGTTTTTAAAAAGATGCTCAAGACTCATCTTTTTAATCAGGCTTTTAACTGATCTCTTTATTTATCTATTTTAAATTCCTCTTATAACCGATTTATCCATCTATTATCTATTTTTTATTTATTTTTTATATTCTTACATTTCCTCTTTTTACGTTCTTATATCATTTAACCTTTATCTTTTATTTTAGTTAGCCTATAGGTTTTAGTTTTGATGCATTTTATGTCTCTGTTTTAGATCATTCTTACCTAGCTACTAACTCAATTTTATGAGCTAAATAGCTTTTTGTTGGGTGGGAGGGTTGGGTTTTCTCTTTTCTTTTTGTTTTCTGTTTGGATCTTTGTTGTTTTTAACCTCTGTGAGGCACTTTGTGTTACTGTTGTATGAAAAGTGCCATATACAGTACAGGCCAAAAGTTTGGACACACCTTCTCATTCAATGCCTTTTCTTTATTTTCATGACTATTTACATTGTAGATTCTCACTGAAGGCATCAAAACTATGAATGAACACATGTGGAGTTATGTACTTAACAAAAAAAGGTGAAATAACTGAAAACATGTTTTATATTCTAGTTTCTTCAAAATAGCCACCCTTTGCTCTGATTACTGCTTTGCACACTCTTGGCATTCTCTCCATGAGCTTCAAGAGGTAGTCACCTGAAATGGTTTTCCAACAGTCTTGAAGGAGTTCCCAGAGGTGTTTAGCACTTGTTGGCCCCTTTGCCTTCACTCTGCGGTCCAGCTCACCCCAAACCATCTCGATTGGGTTCAGGTCCGGTGACTGTGGAGGCCAGGTCATCTGCCGCAGCACTCCATCACTCTCCTTCTTGGTCAAATAGCCCTTACACAGCCTGGAGGTGTGTTTGGGGTCATTGTCCTGTTGAAAAATAAATTATCGTCCAACTAAACGCAAACCGGATGGGATGGCATGTCGCTGCAGGATGCTGTGGTAGCCATGCTGGTTCAGTGTGCCTTCAATTTTGAATAAATCCCCAACAGTGTCACCAGCAAAACACCCCCACACCATCACACCTCCTCCTCCATGCTTCACAGTGGGAACCAGGCATGTGGAATCCATCCGTTCACCTTTTCTGCGTCTCACAAAGACACAGCGGTTGGAACCAAAGATCTCAAATTTGGACTCATCAGACCAAAGCACAGATTTCCACTGGTCTAATGTCCATTCCTTGTGTTTCTTGGCCCAAACAAATCTCTTCTGCTTGTTGCCTCTCCTTAGCAGTGGTTTCCTAGCAGCTATTTGACCATGAAGGCCTGATTGGCGCAGTCTCCTCTTAACAGTTGTTCTAGAGATGGGTCTGCTGCTAGAACTCTGTGTGGCATTCATCTGGTCTCTGATCTGAGCTGCTGTTAACTTGCGATTTCTGAGGCTGGTGACTCGGATGAACTTATCCTCAGAAGCAGAGGTGACTCTTGGTCTTCCTTTCCTGGGTCGGTCCTCATGTGTGCCAGTTTCGTTGTAGCGCTTGATGGTTTTTGCGACTCCACTTGGGGACACATTTAAAGTTTTTGCAATTTTCCGGACTGACTGACCTTCATTTCTTAAAGTAATGATGGCCACTCGTTTTTCTTTAGTTAGCTGATTGGTTCTTGCCATAATATGAATTTTAACAGTTGTCCAATAGGGCTGTCGGCTGTGTGTTAACCTGAATTCTGCACAACACAACTGATGGTCCCAACCCCATTGATAAAGCAAGAAATTCCACTAATTAACCCTGATAAGGCACACCTGTGAAGTGGAAACCATTTCAGGTGACTACCTCTTGAAGCTCATGGAGAGAATGCCAAGAGTGTGCAAAGCAGTAATCAGAGCAAAGGGTGGCTATTTTGAAGAAACTAGAATATAAAACATGTTTTCAGTTATTTCACCTTTTTTGTTAAGTACATAACTCCACATGTGTTCATTCATAGTTTTGATGCCTTCAGTGAGAATCTACAATGTAAATAGTCATGAAAATAAAGAAAACGCATTAAATGAGAAGGTGTATCCAAACTTTTGGCCTGTACTGTAAATAAAGTTGATTTGATTTGATTTGATTTGGCGCAGAAATGTTGTGTTTCTGATTGGCTGGAAAGTTGTTGTTGTTTTTTATTGACTGATCCTGAGTCCCGCCCCTCTTAGTTACTTTTGCTAAGTCAGACAAGCTTGACAAACAGAAACATGGTGACATCGGGTGCCACAGTGTTTACTAAATAGTTTTTAGACTTCTGGTGATACAGCTTTAAGAAGCCAACAGCAAGGACTACAGTATGTGATGGAAGGATATATTCACAATGGTAACTGTTATGAACAAAGAAAACTTGATGCAAAATGAGGCCTCGGGTCTCAAAGTAAAAGGGAGAAGTAAAGACAGAGGATGACAAGACTAGCAGTCAACATTGCTCCTGCACAGCTGGGTATGTTTTCTATTTTCCCCTTCCGGGGATCAGTAAAGTACTCTATGTAGCCATTACTGAATACAGACTGTGGTGCTGACCTAATGTTAGTCTCTCTTTACTGTAGAAAGTTTCATAAGTTTGTTTAGGGTAGCACATAGCCTTACAGAGATAATATAAACAAAGGGACATTAGCCTACCATCCTATTTGTCCTTTTCCAAATCTCTTTAACATTACCACAGACATAAGGATGAAGCAAACTTGGCTGATATTGGTGATCTGATGTAAAGGCTAATTTCTTTTGACATAGCCATACGTTAGGTAGCAAATGCAGTTTTGCTCACGTTAGCTAACTTAAGATGTGACTGTATACAGTGTAAAGTGTCCATGAAGGTTCTGAGTGTCTCTCACCACCATCTTTTAACCAACTTCAAAATGTGGCTTTCTTTTAGACGAGCATAGCACTAAGCAAACATGGATCAGGAAAGGGGAAAGCTGACCATGGTTCTGCTGGGTATGAAGCTTGCTTAATTGTTTAAGCTTTTTAAAAGGGTGAATATATATCAGCAAACTAATTTCTACCAATCAAATCCAGTGCCAAAATATTACTACGTTACGACACAAACTGTATAGCTACATAAATCAAACAATATGTTAACTGTTCAGCATATGGCCAGGCTACGTATTGTTAACCTGAAATATTCACACCATCCCACAGTCACTCATACTGTAGCTATGTGTACAAACACATTTGCATACTGTAAATGTTTTCAAAATTAATTTAAAGTGAATTTAACATAATTTTAGCCCCATGTTTGCCCTTGAAAGCACAAGGACATGGTGCCTATTCTATCCCAAAATGCTTCCTCGCCTATCTACCAACTAACACAGAAAGTTAGCTTTTTTTTTCGCCAGTAGCCATGTAAGTTCTCTGGCTGAAAATGGCTCTCAGTGCTGTCAAAAGTGTCTCCTGCTTTAACACATCAGGCAGAGGAGGTAGAGGTGTGAACTACCTGGCAGAGGTTCCCAGACGAGTTTCACAAGGTCTTTGTGAACAACGTTGGCAGCGAGGGACTGAAAAAATTCAAATTTTAAATTCAGCCTGGAATGGATGCCAACCTTCGCAGCAACACTGAACCAGAGCATGCTGTTACATCATACCAATGTGCGTTGTGCGGGCAGATGTGGATGCATGTGAAATGGAGTAGGCGTGTGTGGAGGTGCATGCATATATCTGTATGTTTGAATATGATAAAATATCTGTAATTCGAAGAGAAAACCTTTATGTACTCTAGGCAGCGTACCAGGGTGCCCCTCTTTCTCTCCATGTCTCTCCTTAACACACTCACACACAAACACTGTGCACAGTTGCCATTTTTTCCACTAATGTTACCTTTCTCTCTCTTCTTTTTGTCTTTCAGGGACACCGTTTAAGCCAAGACTTTGTCTTCCTGGAAATCACTACACACACACACACACACACACATACACACGCACACACTGTCATACACCTGCACGGGCACACACACATATATATACACAATAAATAGATGACAGACGCTTGCCAAGCACTCTTTTATGCCGCCTCAGTGCATTGTATTTCTTTTTAAGTACTCCCCTGGAAAGTGAGTGTTTTGAGAGCCGATGTACCAGCTCCTATTGCCAACTTGACCCGGGAGCTCACAGCCTGTGGGCCCCCGGCTCTGGAACCATTTCAAACAGGTACTACATCTCTCTCTGTCTCTTTCACTTCTTTATTTCTGTTCCCCAGTATTTCATAAACACTTACATGTTATGACACTTTTTCAGTGTCCGTCCTGTATCTCCCCTGCCCGAAGAGATTGGGCAAGATGCACACAGCTAAGCTAGCTAGGCTGCAGAACCAGAGGCAGAGAAACTACTTTGTTATATGTATTTATTTCTGTATGCGTGCAACTTGCATGCAGTTTCACACATTGTAGTGGTTTGGCATGTGTGTTTGAAATTACACATTCCCTAATGTGATATTTTGAACAGACGTTGAGTGCACCCGATGTCCTGACTGGATCCAGTGTGACTGACTGAACTCCCAGCTCTTCCTTCCACTCTGCATTTTTTTTCTCCCTCAAAACACCCGCTATTTTTTGGTTCACTGGCTTAATTTCCCCCTCGCTGATGGAGTACAGAGGATGTGAGGCAAAATCTTCAAAGGGTTTTTCTGGTGTGTTCCACAGATACACTGGCCTGCTCCAATATTCACTGTCACATGCACATGCGGATGGAGAAACGTGCACATGTCAGAAAATACAGACACTAAAACACGCACACATGCCACTCACTTACACACACTACATGCTTTACATGATTTTCACAATGTCAGGATTTTATTTCCTCTTTTCCTATAGACAGAAATAAACTTTAAATCATCAGTGCATGATTGAATGACTATCATAAAATAATACCTGGTACTAGTTCCGAAAAAAATCACGGAAACGCACAGCACATGCCTACAAGAACAAGAGGGGAGGACACTGCAACATTTTTAAAACAAATGTAAAGCTAAAGGTCCAGTGTGGAGGAATTAAGGGGATATACTGGCAGAGATGGAATACAGTGTAATATAATAAGTATGTTTTCTTAAGCAAATAATCACCTAAAAATAAGAAACTATATGTGTTTTCGTTACCTTAGAATGAGCCATTAAATGCAGCCTACATAGGGAGTGATAGAGAGTCATATTGCACCACCATGTTTCTACAGTAGCTCAGACTGGACAAACCAAACACTGGGTCTTTGCGTTTTTGTGTTTATGCATCAGCCACTGTGCTAAGTGTCAGAAAAAGGCAGATATTTTTACGTGACACTGCTTTATTCAGTGTTTTGATCAGTTTTTAATCACCTGCTCTGTTTGTTTTGGAGAGGAAGAGACCTCTGCGGATAATTGGTCCGTTAGTAAAAACATCTGGATCTCAAGTTATCAGAAAATAAAGCTGAGCACACATTAGCAGGTGCTTGGCCAGTGGTCCATGTCCAGCATGCCAAACAGCAGTAGGAGAAACACTGATTTGTATTGTGAGACTGCTTTATTCAGTGTTTTTACCGGTTTAAATTGATGGGTCCATTTGTTTTGGAGAGATGCAGATAAATCAGCTCATGGTAAAAAGCCTCCTGAACATCTGGATCAGAAATAAGGTGAGCACACATTGGGTTGTTAAAAAAAATAGGTTAGCAGGAGCTGGGCCAGCAGCCCGTCTGCAGACCCAATCAGTGGGTCTGTTTGTTTTAAAGAGGAAGAGACCTCTGCAGATAACTCAGATCCTGGTAAAAACCTCCAGGAGATGTTTCAGCTGGTTGCAATCTGCAATCCTCACAGCTAGATGCCACTAAATCCCCCTAAATCTTACACACTGTTCCTTTAAGTTTGCCTGATGTTACATTAAGACAAAGGATTCTTTTGAGCTGCAAAATGTACGACATTCAAGACACTTCAGGGCAACAGCGAATGTATAGAAACTGTGGGAAAAAAAGAAAGAAACAGAGGTAAAACCACAACTGCACACACTTGCTAGTGTCTCATACAGTAACCTGTATCCTGGCAACAACTGATTTTTCCTCAGAGAAGATTCAGGCCTTTACACTCATTTTGTATCATTTCCTTTTTCTGTTTTTTTAATCTACTTATTGTAGTGGTTTTAATTGAAGTTAAAGGATCCCTACACTGGTTGCCAATTATCTCTTGAGATGGCAGCTCTGGCTTCTGGTTGTCATTAACAAAGCAGCTGAAAAAAATAGACACCTAAACCTATCATCATCAATTATACGAAATGCCAAAACGTATTCATTAATAATCCACTTGTGTGGATTTGCATACGATTATGCAGAGTTTCCAATTAAGTAGAGATTGTAACATGTTAAATTCATGTGGTGTCTAAATATAAGCTGATGTGTGTTTGCTTCCTCGTGGCATCCATCATCCACGAGGATGTTCTCATTAAAGGTGTCTCTTAATAACACAGGCACCTTTTGAAAGGAAAAACCTGCAGACGGTGCCAAAAGCTTATAGTAGTCCTGAAAGCTGTACACCTCCTCTGGCTGTTTAGTGGATGGGCTATTTGATTTTGATTCTCACAAAAAAAATATGTACAATTAATGTAAATTGCCCCTGTGTTCTTAGTCAGTCTTGAAAAACTGATTTTTTGGGTTCTTTAATTCTGTGTTATAATTTTTTTTAAAGATATTCTGGTTTGTAGGGAAGCTTTTCATTTGTTGTAATTATGTGTATTTCTTCTGAGCACTTTGATTTGTGAACAGACCAGCATGGTAGAGCTCAGTTCGACAATACTGATAGAGTAAAAATATGCATGATTAAAACTTTGCATCATACACATAGTTTTTTTTATAGAGTAAAAATATGCAATGCAATAAAAAATGCAATATAGACTCTGGTAGACCCCCTAGGTTGGGATCAATTGCTCCAACAAAAAAAAAAATATTCTGGAGCTGCAAAAGCTTTCATGAACTTGGAAACAACAACTCTATCACCAGACAAGAGGATCAATATTGGACTATTCTGCGACAGTGCCAAGGATTTTAAATTGTTGCTTTTTGTAATATTAGCCTACGGCAACTATGACATGGTTAGAGTTAGGCTACTAAAACTTACAAGAGGATGCCAACTCTGGCATAAAAACCTGATGTGATAGATTTGGACTCGTGTGTACTTTACATCTTTGGTTAGTTGACACTGAAATGACTGGTGTCAGTTATGGTGTGCGGAGGATTTGTTCATTTTAAGGCCTGTTGTTGCATGTTTTTTTTTTCACATGTGCACCAAAGGACTAAAGGAACAGTGGTGTCAGCCTGTATGAACTGTCTTTGTACCCTCCCTCTTTCTCTACTTCATCCATCTCCCTCCTCTACTCTGTCTACGAGGCAGAGGCTGATGAGACAGGGCATTTCAGCCCTTCTTGCCCTGCGTGTCAGGCTCCATTGTGGGAAAAACCTGACTGCCAGTGAACTCGGACTGCCACAGAACTGCTGGCTCAACCCCAATGGAGCCTCGGAACACCAACGACCTCCCACCTCCAGCGGTGACTGAGCGTGTTTCGGCAGGATAAAACTTCAGTGGAATAGTCAGAGTGAGAGGGTGTGCATGGATGTGTGTGTGTGTGTGTGCTTTTTTTTTTTTTTTTTCAATATGATTGAGCTCATTTGCTTTTATCAGTGACCCGATTGATCTGCCCTCTGACCCCAGCCTAGCTGCTCAGCTCCATCGCACCACAGAGAGAACTGCACTTGCATGACCTCCGACCCTTTATGTGCTTGTTAGGGTTGTTGAATGTAGAAGGTTGTGAACTCCATAGAATATAGAATTCTATTGCTATGGTGACTGCAGCCATAAACTGCCCTTTAGTCATTTTGTTTCCATCCACAGGCATGGGCTTTACTGATTCTTTAATTTAGCCAGCGTTAATCTCTTTCTCTCTCTCTTTCTTTTCTTTTCTCATTTCTACAGTCATTTGCCTAGAAATTGTGGACACAATTTAGAAGACACTGAATGCTCTACATTGTTATTTTATGTGTATATTTTGTGAATATGATTCAGTATTTCTGTAGGTTGCTATTTGTATTCTGACCCTGCTTGATGATCAGCTGCACTGCATTAACCATTTGTACTGGTTTGAGCGACAGACCACCGACTTTTGTATTTCTAGCGGTTTAGTTCATCCACGTTTGCTCCTTGTACACATTGCTCCCCACTCGTTTTTATTATTGTCATCAGGAAGGCCTGTTTGTATTGCAACAGAAAACAATATTTGCCTATTCAGGTCTCTTGTCCCCTGTTAATAAATGAACCCTTACTCTCTTTTCCCACAGGATTGTATATTACTATGTTCAATAAAGCCAGATTATGTATATAAATATATAAATATATTGCTCTTTTCCACTTTGTATAAAACTGCCACTGCATAGTGAGAGACTGAGTCTTTTAAAGTAGCTTGTGAGGCTCTGCTTATTGTGGGATTTTTGTGAAGATGCAATCTCTGTAGCCCTACTTAGCGGGGCATTTCATTATTGCCATAATTTTCATTATATGACATGTAAGAAGCTGTTTTCACCCAAACAGATGCCAAAAAAAACAATTCTGGATCAATGTTACAGTCTACCCTCATGTAGAAGATCACAATTGTTTAATCTAAGCACTTTGATTTGTTACTTTTAATCACACAGTGTGACACCAATAATTCTCATTTCACACATGAATGCTACCATACCGTTAACGTGACTCTTATATTGCTCCCAATCATTGTAGTAATGATGTTATATGAGATGTCGTGAGAGAGCTGTAGTGGTATGGTTTGGTCAGTGACTCACACATTTATATAACACAGTCTCAATATGTTCTTCTACGTGAATGGGCTACACTACAGTTAACAATGCAGCTTATGACACTGAGTGTTGGCTGGCATTCAGTGACACTTTGCACTGCAAACACACACACACACAATCATGTTTAATGCAGCTATGTATAAATATGTACACACATACTGCACCTGCAGTGCATGCCTTGGAGTCTTTTTTTTATTTTTTACACTATGAAGGCATGCCCTAAAGGAAAGTGAACCTCTACTCCCAATAGTGTTAACTTTCCATTCATACACCCATTTAACCTCCACCTCCATCCCCAGACACACTCTCCTCTCACTCTGCTTTCATTCCTTCACGCTGAGAGCAGCCGGCAGGCAGAAACACACAGAGGCCTGAGGCAACAAAGGAAAGGAAAAAGGGAAGTTTTATCATCCAACTTCCTGCTCTGTTCGGATGCAAACTCATGTGCTTTCAGACCTGTCTTAGTCTGGGTCACCGTAGCCAATCACAAAAGGGTAGAGTGCCACCTATTGGTGCACAACCTGAATCCTCTCTCCTCTCTCCATCACCACCTATCCACTCTCCCTCCTCCCACAGACACAGTGGCGCTTGACTCCTACACACTGACTCACCATATGTTTTTTACACACGCGCAGAGAAAATCACAGTTTGAGTGCACACAGACACCACACGCACGCAAAGACTGACATATAGGAATATCTCGATGTGTGCGCATATGTGAGGGTGCACACAGATGCTCATGCATGCACAAATATGTGCAGGATCACAGCATTAATAATGCAAAAACTGGCAAACACTGACAACTCAACAATAATAAAAACGGTTACACAGCTGAATAATATAATACAACATTTGTTTTGTATGATTTTAATTTAGATTGTCTTAAAGGGGCCCCATGAAGCCTATAGGGACTGAAAGTGCCAACAATAAAACCACAAAATAACCTGCTGGGAACCTTTGTTGCATATGTTGCTATTAATCATTATATTTAAAATAAATTTATTATTATTATTATTATTATTGTTGATAATATATTATTATTGTTGTTATTATAATAAATAGAAATAATAAATAATATTTGTTTTTCATATAACCAAAATAAAAGAGAATATTTTAAGGAACTCAAATATATCAAATTATTAAAAAATGACAAATTCTAATAGGAGCAAAAAATAGTGTCAAAACATTAATATAACACTAAATTTAAGGTATCACTGAGTGTCACAGTGTATCAAATATCAGTTTTAGGTGCAGAGACGATCTTGGATAAGGAGGAGGGAAGCAGGCCAAGTGTTTCTGGCACACAAAAGCTTTGCACACTACTTGCTGTGGTAAACAAAGTTTAGACTTAGAAACAGCCAGAGTCACCCACCGCTTTCGAAATTATCTTATTCACTGGAATCCATTATGTAACGTGAGTTTTCTGAGCACCTACTTTTGTTTCCCGTAAGCCCAACACCACGACGAGGGGTGGATGTGAGTATCACTTTAATTCATCCGGTGAAGCTCATTGGCTTTCACTGTCATGGTGATGGGAACTCTTGAAGGAATAGCTGTTAGAGAACGGATGATACGTGTGGGCAGAGAAAGAGGAAGGCGGTTTATTCTGCTGACCTTTGACCCCTGAGGAAAAAACTGTTTATATACACACACACACACACAATACACACATGCGTACACACACATGCACGCGTAAACACATGCTCCCTCCACGCAGACACACCAGCAGCCGAGTGAGTGAGGGCAGCTGGGCCAAAGTGGAGCTGTGTGTCAGTGCTCCTCCACTGTGAACGATTTCCACAGCGCTGTCAGCAGGCACCATATTAACCACATCAGATTCACTCAAATGCCAGACTGTCACATGCAGTCTGATTCATCAACTTTCCACACTGTCAACCCAGGAGAGCAGAAGATAGAGAGACAGAAGGTGGGACAGAGCGA